GTATATATAAACTCTTGTAAAGCTCTTTATTTTTAAAATTTCAGTAACGGAAATTGATTAAAAGTTATTTACTTTTTAACAATGTCACAAAATTTTTTTCTGAAAAATACACTCTTATGAATACTTTCGGTTTGTATCGCACTGCTTGCTTATTGAACCCTTCTAACTCACATACATCACGCTCAATACTGTTTTTTGACTGCGAGTACTGTTTTACTACTTTTGTACTTAAGACTTTGTAGCATAATGCAATAAAATTTTTTATTCGTTTGACTGGTCAATGCACTCAAAAACATGATGCTGAAGGTTCTTTTTGAAAGTAATGAAATCATTGCTAGTATTGTTTTTCTTCTGTTTTTGCAGTAATGCATTAATTTGAGACTTGCAGGCATACTGAGAAGGCCAGCAACGATGGCTGGCACAAAGAAGACACTTTCATTCTAAATCCTAACTCAGAATAACCTTTCCAAATAGGCTCCAAATGAAAGGGAAGAAATAATGATGATTCCTTCAATTTCACTAAAATATGAAAGGAAGGAGAACTTTCAGCATAGCATTTTCGAGTACATTCACCAGTCAAACAAATAAAAAATATTTTTGCATTATGCTACAAAGCCCTAAGAACAAAAGTAACAAAACAGTACTCGCAGTCAAAAAACAGTACTGAGCGTGATGTATATGAGTTAGAAGGGTTCAATAAGCAAGCAGAGCGATACAAACCGAAAGTAATCATAATAGTAAATTTTTCTGAAAAAAATTTTGTGACATTGTTAAAAAGTAAATAACTTTTAATTAATTTCCGTTACTGAAATTTTAAAAATAAAAAGTTTTACAAGAATTATATATACTAAAAAAAAAAAACAAAAAAAAAATTTTTAGTAGAAAAAGAGGGTCTGAGGCTTGCGAAAGCGCCAAAATGCTGCTGGAATTAAAGGTTTTTTCCAGTCTACTATCACCTATCGTACCATAACCCTTGATGCCAAAAAGATACCACCTTGTGATTTTCACATTTTGTGTAGAAAAGATGTCTTTAAAAAATAAAAATTTTTTAAAAATTTAAAACGTACGTTCTTGAAAAAAATCATTTTGAGTTTTCGTTTTTATTTTAATCCAAAAAAAAATTTGCTAATTTAAGTATGTTACTACTTTTCTGAATCTGCAGGAGACAACCCTTTCAAATAAAGTAAAAATGAGAAAAATCCATTGCGAACTGCGAGACATAAGTTGATAAAGGTGACCGTGTCAAGGGTAAATTGCGTA